CAGAATGAATAACTTTTTGCATCTGTTAACAGAAATCGTAAGTTGCATTGAAATCCTGCATGGCTTGCACAACGTTCGTTGGGAGCCAATTGACGACCGTCATATCTGAGAGACGTGTTAACGAGCGCTAGATGTAAACGGCTGGAAAATCATATTTTTCTTGACCTTGAACGCTGCATGGGAAGTGTATTATGGCGTCGTGAATCCAAAAAGTCGCATGACCGTGAGTTCCATCAAAGCATCTTTAATATGACTATTTCAGTTAAACATTTCGTACAAATGTGGAACGCTCCCTTTAAGAAAAGCAGGGATTTGAACTGTTCCAAAGATCCTCAAGATGGCTACTTCAAGTAAAAACCCCATACAAATGTGGAACACTCCCTTTAAACGTGCGTGTTTTCACTGTTTGGATAAAGCCACTGATGCTGCACTTAAGGTTAGGGTGTCCTCCAACAAAGGCAACGTGGGAGAAATGCTGAGATACTCCAATACGCACACTCTCCGTACCACTTCAAAATCGACGGCGACATACTCCTAAATGTTATGCACAACTCCTCCAGTGCTGACGGTGCGGCCGTATTCACGAAACCAAGTAGTAGTAGACAGAAAGTCAGAAAGTGGGATGGTCATGAAGTCAAAGTCCAGAACATTCATAATTTAGATACGCTCAAAAGGTACTGTTAAACAGGCCTATCGCCATTTTAGACAATGCACAAATAATGTAATGAAAATTGTATAACCTGTTGTACTTGGGTCAAGCGGTTATACAAATAAACATGGCATGCAGCCAGTTTTCGTAAATTTGACCAGCGCATGCGTTGTTTTTTCTGTTGTGAAATACAGTGTAAAATGGAAACCGCAAGAACAGATGAGTCCATTCCCAGGTAGTCCCGGTTACAGCGACGTCCGACCACCCAATACAAGTGTGAGGAGCTGTCGATTTAGAGATAGTTGGAAACATATGGCTGCTACGTGGCGAAGGCAACATGAAGCACGCATTCGTACGTTTTGTGTGCTCCGGAGAAGCTGTAAAAATCGGTGACGTGCTCAGATAAATATCTTCATTTTTTCCTTTGTTGGTTTCTTAGTCATCACAAGCTTCACAACAGGAAACACGGTTTGTTAACGCACTGATGACTTCATTTTTTTAAAGCAATGAGTACGCTCGTAATAAATGCTGCTTATCATCAGTGACTGAAATAGCTATGGTCTGTGTTGCATTGTCCATAACGACGTTTAGGGGACAACCCTGACTGGCTAAAAAAAAGGGCGATAGTTTGGGGTGAACTTTCGTCTTCTATAAAGCAAACATGGGCTTTTGCGTCAACTCTCCCGCAACTGAGTGTGACACCCGTTATTCATCTGCTGCAGAGCGCAGGGACCACACGTCAGCTGGGGTGGGGGATGGGGTGTGTGGAGGGGGGGGGGGGTATATCTGGCATAAAACGACAGGCGCACCACCGCAGCTACCACACTTCGAACGCCTGGCAGCCAGCGCTATCTACTGGACGCCATGAAGGTAAAGCAATTGCTACACTTTAGCAATCTACCTTACTTTGTTTGGCTTACTTTCTTACTTCCTTTACTTACTTTGCTTTACTTTGCTGTATTGGCTGTACTTGCTTTCTCAAACCCCTGTATCCCAGTGTTGAAAATCTGCTTACCCAGTGCGCCCATGCCAAGGCCGAAACTTCACATTATACCCGAACAACTACAAATTTAACAAATAGGTTCAATGTGAGGAGAGAGCAACTCCCCCGCTGGTTTTTTCAGAATTTCATTTCAAAACTTTCTATTGCTGCGTGATGTCCCATGAAATGGTAGACATACCTCTCGTTGCGCACAGTTTAAACATTCACAGTCTAAAAGTGGAGACATAACATGTGAATACATTGGAATCATCAGTGTCATGATATCCATATTTCTTTAAATGATGTTACTGTGAAGCTCGGCGTGCTGCATGCCACTGGCTTCCTTTTCAACAAACAAAATGTTGTGTTATCAGCCAACCCCTGTTTACCCCTTCTTATTATCCTGTTTAGGGCTTAAATGTACTGGCGGTTTGCCTCCCCGGCAATGTCAAAATATTGTTTCACGTTGTAAATAAGATTATTTCCCCCTCTCCACTTGTGCCGCGGTGTGTTCATGGCACTTCAGGTATATCACACAGTCACATCTAGCCTCCGCACTCACAAGATGCTGTCTTGATAGCCTCGTTCTACGTCTTGCAGTTGGCCATCGTCCTCTGCCTGGTGGCCGCCGTTGCTCCCAGCTGCTGTTCCCCGTTTTTCTCCAGCGGACCATCCGGTCTCAGCGGACTGACAGGCGGCTCCGGCTCTGGTGGATACGGCGGCGGATCCGGCGGTGTATTCGCTCTCGTTCGACTGGGAGGCGACGGTGGATTCGACCTGCGGAGACTAAGAGGTGGATACGGCTCCGGCGGGTACGGCTCCGGCTCCGGTGGATACGGCGGCTGATCCGGCGGTGAATTCGCTCTTGTTCGACTGGGTGGCAGAACCGGCGGAGGATTCGGCCGCAGAGGACTTGACGGCGGGTACGGCTACGGCGGGTCTGGCTCCGGTAGATACGGCGGTGGAAGCGGTGGTAGATTCGCCATTGTTGGACTGTGAGGCGGTTACGACGGTGGATTCGGCCCTCACCGACCTGGAGGGGCGTACGGCTACGGCAGACACGGTTATCACTACGGCGGAGACAAGAAACTCTTCTAAAACTATGGCTACGGATATTAACAAGTGAATGATTAGTTTTCCATGCAGAATATCTGCGTACTGCAAAATTTGGTGACGGGTTTCAGTTATTTAGGTAGCAGATATATGGGCATCTGACAACTATTTTGAGCTGTATGCACCAGAATAAATGAGAAGTCATGTGCACCAAAGCCGCGCATTTCAACACCGACAGCATAGTGGGGCCGAAACGAGAGAAAGCAAAGAGAAAGGGCAGGACAATAGGAAAGATAACACAAAACAGAGCAAACGAAATGACTGGAAAACGAGATAAGCAGAATACCGCACGGAGACTGACACCGAACCGGGCTGAGTTTGAACCGGACAACTTAAAGTATGACGACCTGATGGTGTCGTATATGTCATCAGTGCATCTATGGATAGTAGAAATTGGTCGACATCAATCGCAGCGGGCACATAGGCTTCCACTGGAACGAGCGAGCGAAAATCTGACCTTGTTAGCGACGCGCCACTCCCGCCAGCGTTACGTGCGTGGCCGACACTGCCCGACAGCCGCTTCCAATTGGTGTCTGTCGCTTCTGCTGCGTCTAATAGGTCTTGTCCTCGTCGGCAATCTGTCCTTCAGGCGACAGTTGTGACGTCCGAACAATAGATCGATCGTCCCTAACGGGCATGACGCATCGAGCTTTTTCGAGAGCAACGAGTAGTTTTAACATTTGACTCTTGAAAGAACCCTGTTCGTTAGCTTTGCCGCGTCATTTTATTTCACCATTCTTCATCCGCGATTAAAAATGCTGGTTAGAAACGGTCAGGGAATACCGGAACACAGGCAACGACACAGAAGCGCAGGCGCGGAGGCAAAGGGATTGATAGTTCAGGGCTTTTTCCCCCAACTTCAAGAAAATTTTACAACTGTCCCTACGAGTGGGGACTGGAAAGAAATCATCTAAATGCATAACTCCCCACTTACAACCAATGTATGTAGTGAAACTGAGGCATACAAGACGGCGCGTTCGCAGGTTCCATTGTCAGCTCGGCACCACGTATGACCAAGTACGTAGCCTGCAGTTGCATCGGCTCGTTTGCTCGAGCCGTTGATCTCTAAGTTTATGTGATATCGTTACTCGTCCTCCCAGTACGCCCATGCCAAGGCCGGAACTTGACATCATGTCCGAACAACTACAAATTTAACGAATGGGTTCAATGTGTGAAGAGAACAACCCCCCCCCCCCCCCCCCCACTGGTTTTTAGAATTTCATGTCATAACTTTCTATTGCTGCGCACCGTCCCGTGGCTGGCGGGCATTTCTTATATTGGACCGTCAACCAATGTGCCAATGGCTTTTGCAATATTGCTGTTGCTACGTACCGTCCCGTAGACTGGTAGACACTTTTCATGTTGCACGGCATTCTAAGATTAAATACATAAAATATTAACGCGTTCGAGTCATCGGCGTCATCATATTGATATTGCTTTAAGTGATGCTACCGTCAAGCTCGGCGTGCTGCACGTCACTGGACTGAGCTTGTAATACACAAAATATTGTGTTATTAGCCAAACCCCGTTCACCCATTCTGATTATCCCGTTCAGGGTTTGAATGCACCAGCAGTTTGCCTCCCCGGCAAGCTAAGACAAATGACCACCTTCGGTTGATTCCATTCCTCTAAATGGGTGCTCGCCGTCAAAGCGCAGCGCGCCCGACCAGGTCTGTTACAACGCCTCAGGCAGGGTACACCCAGTCTGTGACGGGCTTATAGGGGATAATTACAGGGATGCTTCCTTTTTGTTGGCCACAGATGGCAGAGATGGCAGGATTTCTCCTAGTTTGGAGAGCGAGTGGGGAAACAGTCATTTTTGGTCATTTCCACCCAACGCCATGGAGCCAATGTTGAATTTTTAGAGACTCGGTGTCTTAGCCTCTCCTGGCTCCTCCAGTTACCGCGGATCACATCAGGCCAAAAATGAACAAGCTAGCTTGTCGCCCTATCTCTGGCAGGCTTTTAGGGAAAGCCTAATGGTTGGAAAGGTCTAGGAACGGTTCGACTTCTGCTATTGTTTGATAAAGGCAGTTTGCCGAAATATCAATCCATTCAAAGCTCCATTCTGTTGCCGAGTAATAAGGCTATTACTTTTGTCTTGTCTAGGTTCAATTTGCGATATTTTTCAGGCCGATATTTGGTGCGCAAGTGCTGGTTTTCGTGTTTCAACACATTTACCTTAAGTGCCGATTATGACAAAACATACGCAGCTGTTACGAATCTTGGCAGTAGGCTGAAGCTTTGCAGTGTCAAGTTATCACGATGTGTTGGTAGTGTGGTCAGCCCAGCCTGAAGTATGTCTGAGTATTCCAAGGTGAAAGTGGGAAAGCTGAAACTGAAAGGAGAAAAAGAGAAGTAAGATTTGGATTATTTTTTGTGCGTGTACTGGATGGAAAGTGTGGTTGACAAGTTTTGTTTTTTTACTGGGTGTTGTTAAGCTTGGATTGTGCTTTGCGTATTTCCCAAGCATCAATATTTATGAAATAGAATGCCTTCATGGGATTTTCAACTCACCGTCCTTTATGGTTTGGTGCTTTCAGTCAGATCATGTTATGCGGTGGAATCGTATGATTGTAAACTGGTATTTTATCTTCAGGAAACACAAGAAGAAGTCCAGCAAAAGGAAGCATGAAGATCATGAATTGGATGCTGCTGTTGCTAAGACTGATTCAGCCATGCATGGTATATTGATAAGAAGATATACATTTTATTGGGAGTGACATTTGAAGCACGGTTTATACAACTGCTAATTGTTTTGTAAGCTTCATATTTGAAATACATATTTCTGTGAAGTGTGTATTACTGTTTGCCAACATGCCAACATTCATGTCATTCCTGGGCATTATCATTCTAAGATTACATAAAGAGGTGTATAGACACTCCTTAAGTGATATAGATTGGGCCACTTTAGTATAGGCATGGTACTGTGTCTCATGTTTTTTATGCACCTCAGGTGACTGGTGGACCACGAGTAAAGTTTCGGAGATCCGTGGCAGCATTGCTATAGAGCTTGGAGACAGGACATATATCAAGGCTCTAGACAATGGTCTCTTCACAGTGGGAGCACCACATGCAGAAGGTTTGCATTGGTGTTCTCTTTTCCACTGTATGTTGTTTGCTTAGGGTGGGTTTTGATGTACCATGAGTTTTCCCAGACTTAGTCAAACTGAACAGTAAAGCATGTGAAAAACATGTGTTAAATTGAGCATTGCTCCTTTTTCAGGGTGGATTAACATTGCACTGCGGGCTGGAAACCCTACTTATCACATGACATTTGTGAAAGAAGGTCACTTCTTTTGTTATCACTCATGCCACCATACATGGTTTTGGTGGTTGCAATTAAGCCCATTTCAAATCTGTTTGCTAGCCATAGATTGCATTCCTCCCACATGTGTTCCTGTATGACCTGTGTGCACCACTTCAGGCGAGGGCCCTGACCCTGAGGAGGTGCTTATGGCTGTGCCGGTGGGCGACACGCGTGTGGCGTTCAAGTCGGGCTACGGCAAGTACGTGGGCGTGGATGCTAAGGACCGGATGGTGGGTCGCGCCGACGCCATCGGCCCCATGGAGCAGTGGGAGCCGGTCTTCCAGGTGAGTGGTCAGGATGTGCTCGAGGAGGTGGTCCGTGAGTGGCGACGGTGCCGCGGTGGGCGACGGCGATTGCCGCGATGACTGCTGGATGGCGTGCTCTAGGTGACCAAACTGGGATTAGTGTTTTTGAAAGTGGGGCCTGGTCCATCTGAAGAATTTTCTGAATAGATGTGTTGCATTTACTGGTGTTGCGCATGTTGCACATTAAAAAGTCCGTGGTCTGAGAGGATTTTAGACGAAAACATGAACATGATTATGCTCGCACCTGTCAAGTTAGACTCGAATTATCAACACCACAGCAGCTTGTGATGCTCACAAAGAACTTAAAATGGTAGTATGTGGAGGCAATGGTTAGGTCGTATTTTTCCTGTATAAAGCTGTGTCAACACTCAAGATTATCACCTGTTACATATTGTTACTTTTGCTTTTGTTAATGACGATCAGTGCTTGAATTTTTCACTGCACTTGTATCTGCAGTATACTGATGTGTTCATATGATACTGGCAACAGTAGAGCATCAAGTGGTGAACCCTGAAATGATGGGCTGGTGTCAGTCATCAGTTATGTCAGCAAACCCACTACCAAATCGTTACTGTTAAGCAGCCACGCTTCTGCTGTGACACCTGTCGCCAAGTGTGGTGTGTGGCTGGTGTGGCGGAGTGGTGACAGGTGTCGCTGGTGATCGAGTGCGCGGGTGGCGCCACCTGTGCACGGCGGTCCGTCGGCCGGCCCGCGCGGGTGACAAGCCTGCCTGCTCAGGGCGCCGAGCCCCGTCTTGCCGCTGATGTGGCTGGGCCGTCCAGACGGAGCGTCTCAGCCACGCAGGGCGTCTCCGAGCGATCGTCGAGCTCGGGCCGGGGCGGCGTAGCGCTTGTGACGTCAGCGTGGCCCGGACGGCCCTGGGGGCGGTGTGGGCGCTGGTGACGTCAGCGGGCCGTACGCCCTGGGGCGGTGGTGTCGCGTGACGTCCAGGTGCCCTTGGCGGTGTGGCGCTGTGACGTCATCGTGCGTGCCGGACGCTCTGTGCGTCTGACGGTATCGCCGTGCGGCCGCCAGGACGGCAAGACCGCGCTGCAGGGCGGCAACAGCCGCTTCGTCTCGGCCGACAACGAGGACTCGGTGCTCGTGCGCGCTAGGACGGCCGGACAGCCGGAAATGGTCAACATCCGGTCACACTCGGAGCGCGCGCAGGCGAGCGGCACCACGGCGCAGGAGGACGAAGGCAATCTCAACAAGGTGGAGATCAACTACGTGTGAGTACCGGCCGCGCCCACCTAATTTGTGGGCTACTGGGTGAATTGAAAGCCGTCTTCGGTCAAACAACTCTGAGAGAGGAGTCCTGTCAGTGATGCTAATTGTCAGATCTTGTAATGAATTCGTCATCGCGTCATTTCCGTACATACTGTTAAGGAATCGAATTTAATCAGCCTTTGACGTGCATAAAAAAAATACAAAAATGCGCCCACAAATGCCAAGTGTCAAGAAATCCAGTGGTCAGCAGCCGAGCTTTTGAAACGCGACTGACTGCGTCTTGTGACGTCGTGCAAGCTACAGCGCCCAACGTGTAAGGAAGCATTTTGACTAGCCGCCGTGGTGCGCACGACTGTTCTTGCGATCGGGTTTAGCGTTCGTTGTTCCTATGTGGATAGCGCACAGCTGATACTGACTGGCGGAGTGGAAATTGCTGCTGGCATATTTAGACAAGCCGTATCGCCACTAGCGGATTTGATCCTTCTCCCTACGGCTTTGCAGAGCTTTGTTCAAGTTCACAACGGGAGTCCGCTGATCCATTCGTAGTGACAGCGGCACTATCTGAGGATCATAAAGGAGTCCCCGCGCACGTCTTTTGTGTCACCGCTGACGCCCGCGTTGCGCTGGGCTGCAGGAAGCAGTTCCAAAAGTTCCAGGACAAGCGGCTGCGGCTACATGAGGGCGGCGCGGAGGAGCTGCGCGTGGCGCGGGACCAGGGCCGCCTACACGAGTCGCTGCTGGACCGGCGCGCCAAGATGAAGGCCGACCGTTACTGCAAGTGATGCCGCCGCGCCTGCCTCAGCAACTGCCGGCAATAGACCGCGTCTGTGTGAACAGCCTGTCGGCCTCGGGAACCGTGCCTCCGGCCGGCGGTTTACATCTCCGATGGACTACAGCGTCCTGGACGGCATGGCGTCAGTGTCGGTTGACGTTCGGGACGTGGCGGCCGGGCGGTTGTCGGTTGACGTTCGGGACGTGGCGTCCGAATGGTCGTCGGTTGACGTTCGGGACGTGGCGTCCGAATGGTCGTCGGTTGACGCTCGGGACGTGGCGTCCGGACGGTCGTCGGTTGACGCTCGGGACGTGGCGTCCGAACGGTCGTCGGTTGACGTTTGGGACGTAGCGTCTGGACCGTCGTCGGTTGACCTTCGGGACGTGGCGTCCGGACGGTCGTCGATTGACGTTCGGGACGTGGCGGCCGGGCGGTTGTCGGTTGACGTTGGGGATGTGGCGTCCGAACGGTCGTCGGTTGACGCTCGGGACGCGGTGTCGGCCAGCGGGCGGTCGTCGCTGGTGGACGGACGGCCGCGCCGCTGGCGCCGTCGGGCTGAGACTGATCACTGCCAGACAGTCAGTCAGCCACCGACGACTGTCTGCCGGCACGAACTGGCACGGCCTCAGTGTGGGGCGGAAGTGTAGAGCGGCTGGACCTGTCCAGCTTTTGCCCGCTGGCTGTGTCGGGCAAACCGTCACCAGTGTCGGGCCTGAGGCGTGCGTTGTGGTGGGATGAGCGGCGATGTCGGAATAGCTTTGTCGAACGGCCAGCTGTCAACGCCAGGTCACTTGTCATCGCCATTGTACTGAGTCGTTGGAGCGTCTCATTCGTGAACATTTTTTGTAGCTGATTGGAAATGAGCAGCGATCATTGTCTTCGATCGTTGGATTCGTGCGATGCGTTGTTTTAATAAACGTCGACCCGTTGCGCCACGCCCTGATGTAACAAGGTCATTACACGATAAACTGTACGTGAACGAAGTGAAGCCGCTGATGGCCGAGCTATGCTATGCTCCTCAGCACCTGGTGCTTGGACCTAGTCCTAAGTTGGTCGGCTAAAGCAGTAACCGCTTATCACAGCACAGTGCGATGTCTGTCGCCGTGTGGCTGTTGCGAGCTTTGCCATTTTCCCACATCTGCGCAGGCTACCCGGAAAGTTGCCCTCCCGCTTTTGGGAAGCAGGGCGATGATGGCGGCGCCATTTCCGCCGACGCCTTGCAGATGTGGCGGCCGCTTTTCAACTGGGGGAGTGCGCCATGTAAGGCCGCCATTGTGACGTAACTTTACCCTAAATGGCCGATTGGGGAGCACGGTAAGAGGCCTTAACTTCGTTTGTGCCGCAAATAAGCGCCGCCGGGCGATGTGCCACGTGACCTGGAGGCTGTTCTGCCTCGGGCTTGGCGCAAACTGATGCTGCAAAGTGCTGCTCGCGACGCCGATGTGTGCTGCAGAGGGTTTTTGATTTTCTGCTGCGTTCGGCCAGGACGGCTCGCAGTCGTGACGTAGGAGGAACACATGGGCGCCTCGTGTTCTGTGCTGCGGAACTGGCCGCGACTGATCGGACCGTGGCTCTGGCGGCCGATGGCTGGTCACCGCTTCCCCTCCCCTCCCCCCCTTCTGACTCTGACGTGTTGACGACATTTCGTAAATCGTTGCTGCAGAACACTGAAACACTTCCATCGGGGGAAGCTCTGGTGCGCCGAAGAGCCAGGGCTGTTGAACCACGTGCAGCTGCGATGCATGATCGTCAAAGAATAGCATACTCTGACATGATCTCGTAGCTGGACCATTCAAACGGCACTTGATCTATCTCAATATCAATGCAGCCGTGAGACGAAACTGATTTGCCGTGTTCTGCCACACGTGTACGTATTACGTTATGTAACACCCAGGAAGAATTCGCCCAATTTCCGAAAAGATTTGTGAGGTCTCAATGCTGTGAGATGTGTGTATTGGTTAGTATGAGTGGTTTTATTTGCATGCGTTGAATATCAACTCCGTACATCGATACCTCTAGCCGTCACTGCAATGCATGGGCTAACCATTGCATTGGCCCTCGTGCCTTTACTTCGGTTACATCTGTGGCAACTGAAGGAAATCCAAGAGGGTGTTATTTTCCGCTCCTTTGTGTGTCCTGCTGATCCTGTCCTATAGAAAATAGCTAAATGTTAAAACATTGTTACTTTCAGATGTATTATTCAGCATAACGTAAATGCGTGACGATGCACCAAATAAGATACCACTATTGGAGTAAGGACTTCACTATGCTTGTAGGTATGTGCAGTTTCTCGTTTTGACTCAAACGTGACCTGACCTGACCTGGCCTGAATTGTTCCCTGATTGGGCCGTGTGACATGACAGGTTTTTAAATATTGTCTGAGTCGTGACGCAGAATCGATTGCGTGCATCAAGGCATGACCCGCAACGAGCGCAACTGCGGTAATGTAGCGTTATGGAGGGATGCGCTGCAACATCGGTCCCCAGTTTGCGTGCATGCCCGGAGACGAAACGTCATTGTTCATGCGGCATACAAAGATGAAATCGCATTTTTGGACTGGTCGCGCACGCGCAAATTAAATGCTGAGTACGTACACATTGCACTTCCGTGCATATTTTCACTTTGAAGCTCTGGTGGCTTTCGGAGGTCAAACTTTTATGTCGCCGAGCTAAATTTGGGTATCGAACTCCTCTCAAATTCGACAAAGTTCCGCTGATTTCGTCGAATAGCCAGACGGACTACAGTCGCTGTCACTGCAAATGCTGAGTGCGTGATCAGATATTACGTTGACGTACTAGATTTGTGGTGCGTAGTACGTTATGTAACGCTTAAAAGTAGTTCGTCCAATATCCGACAAGACTGGTGACTTCGATCGAATGATTGCTTTATCCGTCGGTCCTAATAAAAGCTAATGCTGAACCGCTCAAATGTGCTGTGCTCGGGCCCTCCATTACACCAATGATCCATCTTACAGGCTGGGATCACTTCGTCTAATGGGAGGCCCCGCCTTTGAATCCCGGCTTGTTTTGCTTGGGGAATTGCTAGCTGCTACCGCAAGTCGGGTACGGCAGATGTTTTATAAAAGTCATCACAGCCCAGTAAATCGCACAGGCGAAGGCAAACATTCGATTTCTTAGTAGGTACAGCGAGATGCTAAGGTGCCTTTGTATTGGCCGTGTACACACATCTAAATCATTGACAGATAATTGTTATTCTGGGGAGAATACATTTGCAGTTTTTTTCGCTTGTTACGAGTGTCAGATAGCAAACTAATCCTTCCTGAACGATGGAAATTAGTCTCCTTCAGTGGCCCGGCCAGGCTCGGCCATTCACGCTGTCTTGTAGCCAATAGCTTCGGAGAAATTAACCACAGCTTCATAAAGTTTTCAGCAGCGAAAAGAGCAAGTTTCTTTTTTTTTAAATTGTACAATAGAAAAAACGTTTAGGCGTTGACTTTGCTGTTCGACGAGGCGTGGTGTTCCGACAGCAAGACAATCGAAACAAAATCTGATTGACCCCATTTCACGAACATGGGAAGCGTAACGTTTCCCATGTTCCCATGGGAAACGTAACGCAACAAGGAAACGAAACGTAACGCGATATGTCATGTTTCTTTAACGCAACTTGAAATCGTACGTTTTCGAAGTGCGAAAAATCTGAATGCTACGGTTCCAACGAAGGGCTCAGTTCCCGAAGACTCGCAGCGTCTTCGGGATCAGCGATCACGGGATCAGCTGGCGAACTGGAAAGAGAAAGACACTGGTGTTGGTTACATTAGCGGTCGCTGTACGCGCCGTTGGTCGGCCACTGTGTGTATGTATTGAATAACCGAGGTTGTACGGAAGAACCCGAAAAAGCTCGTGAAATTCGGACCCGTCTCGGTGACCGGGAGTCGGTTCGTAGCAAACAAGATTGTTATTATCTTGTCGAGGAAACGGAAATGTAAACAAATGAAGTAGTTGGCTTTTGAGAGCCCAGGGACATAGCTTTTAGCACTACATAGGACCACCTCTCCCTGGCAGGCTGAGCTGTATTGGTGTTTTAAGAATGCTGGCGTAACTTTGCAAACATTTTGGCTTGAAACTTGGCTTGCCTAGAACGAAGTCGCGACATTGATCAGAGCGTCTTGACTTGGGTGTGTACAGGTCATCACGCGCTTGAGCGCCAGCCATGTCTCCAGTCTCGGGTGTGTTTTGGGACTGGTGCCAGATTTCGACGACCAGTGCGTGAGGACCTGACACCAATTGCACGAAGCAGACGAATGTACCGGTTACACATCACTAAGTGATGTAAGCATTATCCTACGTCGATGATTAAACCGCAGAACGACCAATCGGACCTTTTTCGAAGCCGCTCTTGAATATACCACTGTGGCCTACACTGAAAAGCTTGGGACATGACGTTTGCATAAACAATTAGTCCATTAAGATGTTAGCAGCGTTCACTCAAAATACCATCATTTCTGCAACATTTTGGTTGCAAACCCTCTGGAAAACGCAAATAATTTCATATTCCCTAACCTCACTGGCTATAATTGTCGCGCCCTGTCAGCTCTTAGACCAGCCAATTTTCAAGCCACAGTGCCTGTAAATTTATGCAAACATTCTAAGAACGCCAATACAGCTCAACCTTCCAAGCGCGTTAAGGAGAGGTAACATTATGTGGTGCAAAAACCTTATGCCTGGGCTTCCAAAAACATTAAGAATGTTTCATTCGTTTACAGATCGCTTTCTTCAACATGATAGTAATAATCTTGCTTGTTATGACCTCGCCCGCCCTACGCCTGAAAAGCCGTCTCACTGGGAGAAACCAATGCAAAAATACTGAGAGCGGTGTTTACAGCTCCTGTGGTTAATTAGAAACTGGGCTGGCATCCGAGCGTCTCTTGCTTAAGCCAAATGATGACTCGTTCTGCTTAAGTGTGGACCACCAATTGGAGCGTCGAGCGAGCTTCAGCTAGACGAGGCCTAACCATCGCAAAGCTGTGCTGTGTTCGAAGGTATTTGCGTACAATGGATACTATTGGATATCGATAGATGTGACCTGTGATGTGTCATATCAGGCTGGATGCGTGAATGTTATTGTTTCAGTATCGGCCCGGTCATATCAAGAAATAAGCTATATCAATGGAAGCACACCGACAGAAAGTCTAAAAATTGTAGATTATGCAAATCTTACGCATCTCGCTTAAATCGTGTTCGATTCGAAACGTCAAATTCGACCACAAATCTAAGAGATTGGCGTAGCTTGACCTTTGACCACCTGGGCTTGCTAAAGCAGCCAGAACGACAGCAATTCGTTTCACAGTGATACAATAGCACGCGCTCGGGCGTAAACCAGTTAGACCCCCTCCAAATATTTTTTTTTCCAAAGTGACCTCTCAGCGGCATAAGCCTTTGGAACGGCGCAGCCGCGCCAAACTTTGCATTGCTTTAGGCAATTGAATAGTCAACCATTTGGTACCAAGTTGGATACACGTGTAAGGTCACAGCCCCTTGATAGGTCAAAGCCAGGCCAAGGCGGTCATT